GTGGGCTGATTGCTCAAGGTCAGGAGTTCGAAACCAGCCTGAGCAAGAGTGAGACCCTGTCTCTACTAAAAATAGAAACAAATTAATTGGCCAACTAAAAATATATAGAAAAAACTAGCCGGGCATGGTGGTACATGCCTGTAGTCCCAGCTACCAGGGAGGCTGAGGCAGGAGGATTGCTTGAGCCCAGGAGTTTGAGGTTGCTGTGAGCTGGGCTGATGCGATGGTACTCTAGCCCAGGCAACAGAGTGAGACTCTGTCTCAAAAAAAAAAAAAAAAAAAAAACCAAAAAGCAAAAGAGTTAGGATTGCAAAGCATTTTTAAGCAGAAAATAGACGTTCTTAAAAGAGAAGATTGAGACTTTGACATACACAAACCATGGCACACAAGATAGGTGACAAGAGTTGGTCAGGGTTTGTGCTTGTGAGTAGTGTCTTAGGGTCTTGGATCAGAGCCTGGGAAGGCACCATACAACAGCCACCCCAGCAATCACTAAACTGGATGCAAATGAAACAAAGTGACATACTTTCACAGACTGAGAAGTCTGGGGTACCCTCACAAAGGTTTTGTAGGGGGCCCAAAGCAAAGGCTGACCAATTGCTTTTTCCCCGAATCGGTCACTGATCTCTGAATGGTCCTCAAATCATTACCCTCAGGTCTGACTTGGATAGCATTGGAAGCTTATCAAGCCTGTGGCTTAGAGAACTCTCCTTTTCATAGTCAACAGAAAAAGGCATTCCAGACAGGACAAAAACCCATGCAACAAGACTTTATATATATATATATATATATATGTATAGATAGATAGACAGACAGACAGACAAACAACAGCAAAAGCAAAGCAAGCAACAGTAGAATATGTAGTTTAATGGCATGATAATATTTGCCACATGGCACACCTCCACAGCAAGAGATCTGAAGCCTTATGCAAAGATCTAAGTCAATTACCTGATGGTAGACTTCTCAATCAAACATCTAGTTACTTGATACAAAGACCTCAGCCTAACGACCTTGTACAAGGACACGCTTGCACAAATCCTAGAATAACAAAATGCATTGAGCAGTAACAGCCTGGTGGAACCGGTCAGAGCTCAAATCCTTGTCGGCACTGATGCCTTGGCTGCAGGTCCAAAGGGCAACTGGAGTTTGGGGCCCAGCAAATGCACCTGTGGCCCAAGGACCCCATGGTGGGTCTTCCGAAGATGCCAGTGGAAACTGCAGAACTGTCCAAGGGTGACAGCCAGCACTGAACGCCTGAGATAAAAGGACAAAGCTGAATTTATGACTCAGAGTAGTAGGAGACAGCTATGCTTGCCAGGCACAGTCCCCCAGAGCAGAGCAGGATGAAGATCATCTACAGGGACTGGGGGCAGCGTGGAGTGCAGGGACTACAGGACATTCAGAGGAGCAGTGAGCTGACCGTCATCATACGCAGGAGAGACTGCCATTGGTTGGGGGATGCTCAGGGGTGTGTTTATTGGGATGAGTCTGCCCCTGATTGGCTGAATTTCCGAAGTGAGGGTTGACACTGATTAGTTGGTTTGCAAATGTGCATTCACAGAACTGCATCTTCCTTGACCAACTGAAGAGGTTTAATCAAGTAACAAGGCTCTTTGTCATCATAGCTACAGAATAAGCAGTTTTTTCTAAGTTTCTGGGAACACTTTTATTCCCACCCTGTGGAGCCTGCCTTGATGGGTGAGGACATTTCTAGCCTGAGCATCCTGATTCTTCCACCTGGCTCTGGTGGCCACAGCATGGACCACCTTGCAAATCACCTGGAACATACTATCAGGGCAGGAGTTTCCCTCCCTCAACTTCAACGCCCACTATTGATGGCAGCCTATTCATTATCTGTGATACTAATTAGGAGGCAAAGCAGAATATTTAGAGGAAATTTAAGAAAATGCCAGATTTATGACCAACGAGTAAATAATTTTTTAGCACATAATTGTTTTGGAAGAAGAAAAGGTCTAACACATAGGTACCTGTCCCCAGAGGACTTGTTTATTGGGGGAGATGAGGGTAAATGTTCACTTAGAAATCTTTTTTTTTTTTTTTTTTTTGAGACAGAGTCTCGCTTTGTTGTCCAGGCTAGAGTGAGTGCCGTGGTGTCAGCCTAGCTCACAGCAACCTCAAACTCCTGGGCTCGAGCGATCCTTCTGCCTCAGCCTCCCGAGTAGCTGGGACTACAGGCATGCGCCACCATGCCCGGCTAATTTTTTATATATATATCAGTTGGCCAATTAATTTCTTTCTATTTATAGTAGAGACGGGGTCTCGCTCTTGCTCAGGCTGGTTTTGAACTCCTGACCTTGAGCAATCCGCCCGCCTCGGCCTCCCAAGAGCTAGGATTACAGGCGTGAGCCACCGGCCTCCCAAGAGCTAGGATTACAGGCGTGAGCCACCGCGCCCGGCTAGAAATCTTTTTATATATGAATTTTTTTTTTTTTTTGAGACAGAGTCTCCCTCTGTTGCCCAGGCTAGAGTGAGTGCCGTGGTGTCAGTCTAGCTCACAGCAACCTCACACTCCTGGGCTCAAGTGATCCTCTTGCCTCAGCCTCCCAAGTAGCTGGGACTACAAGCATGCGCCACCATGCCCGGCTAATTTTTTCTATATGTTTTTAGCTGGCCAATTAATTTGTTTCTATTTTTAGTAGAGACAGGGTCTTGCTCTTGCTCAGGCTGGTTTCGAACTCCTGACCTTGAGCAGTCTGCCCGCCTTGGCCTCCCAGAGTGTTAGGATTACAAGCGTGAGCCACTGCGCCTGGAATATATATGAATCTTGAATTGTGAGACATGTGCTTTAAATGCATTTCAGAGATTATTAGGAAAACTCTAATGTGGCTTGAATGTTTACTTTTTTTTTTTAACCCTATTCCCTCTCTTTCTGTGAGTCTGCTCATGAGCATGTTGAGTATTATAGCAATGAATAGTGCTCTGTTCCCCAGCCTCAAGCACTTCATTGCGATCATTGAGTAGCAGATAGCAAAGGGCCACAAAGTCCACAGTTCAGACAGCCACAGAAAGAGCCCACAGATCTAACCATTTTAGGGCATTAGAAACCGGAAGTCCACAAGTCAGAAAGCCACAGACTGAGCCCACAGATCTACCTTTTGAGGGCATTAGAAACCGGAAGCTCCACAAACAGCCATGATCCTCCTAACAACTGGAGCCTTTGCTGTCCCAGAGGAATGCTTTAAATCAATGTCACTTCTCCTTGTGTCAAGCGAGTTGGCACTAAATGGGGCACCAGAAAAACAGTTGGTTATTGTAAAATAACCAACATTTTACAAGGTAAAGGAAATATGTGCTTTTCTGACAAACTTGGAATTCTCTAACTTATAAAAAACTCCTAAGTCAAAGTGAGCCTGAAGTGTCACTAGCATCACTAGCTTCACCACCACCAGGTGACCAGTGTGACCATCGTCCACGGTGTGACAGGTGTCCCCAGTGTCTCCAGTGTCCCATGAAAAAGTGCCCAGAGGGAGGAGAATTTCCCAAGACTTGAAGCGTCCGGCCAGAATTCTCATTCCATTGCCATCTCGGGACGGCGGGAAAATGTTTTCCGTGACGTTACTTTGGGGCTGAGTTCTGCTAAGCAGATTGGTAGCTTTCCCTCTTTCCTTTACGCTGAAAAGTGAAGCTAAGTATTATTTGGATTTACATAAATGAATTCCCTGAAATGCATTCCCAGGTATGCTTCAATAAATCTGGACACACTCGGGTTTCATCTGGCAGTGAGAGTGGGATACACGAAAAGGGATTTTTCACTTTTTATTTCAAATGTGTTGTTAAGAGTTGCAGTACTAGGGACTGTTTGTTTCGATGTTTATTGTCTTTTTGATTTACTGTTTTGCAAATAAATGAAGCAAGGCTATCATACAAAGCTGATAATTTATACATCAGCTTACATTGCCCTTAACCATAGTGTTCCTATTGCCACCTGTTATTCTGTATGATAATAAGTCAATTGTTTTTTGTCTCCACCTTATAGATGTAGCCAAGAACTGGTTAAGTGGGTTAGATTAACCACATAGACCTTCCAACCTCGTCCACTGCCTAAAAGATTACGTCCTGTTTGAGAACAAGCCGTGTAATTCTCCTTTTGAAATGTGCCGGAGTGGCAGTCTGCTAGAGTTAGGGAAGGATACTATTTAATGCCAGGGGGGTCGGGGGCTCCTACCAGGGAATGACTGGTTGACCCAGTAACTGGCCCGCGTTTTGGTTGGATCGATAAATTTGCTAGCGTGGTAAGTTCAGCCATTGTGATTCTTCATATTTAGGCTACCTCCTCATCAGAAACGCGTTATTGCAGTCCTCCTAAGAGCTAAATTCCTCTGCCAGGAATCCCGCTTCCCGGAGTGTCGGGAGAGCCCGTTCTGCAGGAACTGCCCCGGGGAGGGCTTGGGAGTCTGGGGAAGAGTCCGAGAGTTTGCGGTCTGTTTTCCACAAATAGGGGCAGAGGACACAGAATAATCCCAGAGAAGGAGAAATGTCCTGGCCAGGGGACTGTCCCAAACAGTGGGGTGGGTTAGGAAGCACAGCAGGAGAAACCTGACAGCTGAAGAAAAGATCTAGAGAACTCCAACAGTTTAGAGGGGACTCACATGAGTCCAGAAAGATGCTAGGAGATGCGGTCCTGGGCGCTCGGGGCTTTGGTAGGGGTTTAGCGCCCTGTGGTCACTTGTGTTCCTTTTACCCCGAGCCACGCAGCCCACGTGGCCTTCGTTTCTGTGGTACCCCCCCAACCCCCATGGAACAGGCAGCAAAGCATGAGGGGATCGGTCCTCTGGCACCTGTTCCATCGCACCTGTCCCTCCCGTTTCCGAGACGTAGCAGAGCCCCAGCTCCATCCTGGTTCCCATATCCCAGGGTGGGTGCCACGGGCGGTCAGCTCCCCGCACCTGGAAGTCAAGGACCTCCCTCTAGGCGCCCCGGCCGCACCTGGCAGGTGCAAAGGTGGCAGCTGGCATGAAGCTCCTGCTTCCCCTCCGCAGGTGAAGGGCCCCGCCCAGCAGCCCAAGACGGTGTTCGCCGCCCGCCACGCCGTCACCTTCCAGACGGAGGGGGACACGTGGCGGGAGCAGAAGGAGCAGCGAGCGGCGCTCATGGTGGGCATCCTCATCGGGGTGTTCGTGCTCTGCTGGGCCCCCTTCTTCATCACGGAGCTGCTCAGTCCCCTCATCTCCCGAGACATCCCCGCCATCTGGAAAAGCATCTTCCTCTGGCTTGGCTACTCCAACTCCTTCTTCAACCCCCTGATCTACACGGCGTTCAACAAGAACTACAACAGCGCCTTCAAGCACTTCTTTGGTAGGCAAGCGTGCGTGAGCGGCACAGGGTAAGAAGCAGACCCCCCGTGACTTGGCGGAGTTTGCAATGTCCGGGTCCCCACCTCCATCCGACAGCTGTGTGGAAGGGACAGGTCCTTGGAGCTCTCCGGGGCCGTCTTTAGAACTCAACTGGCCTCGCTTCTGCCTCCTGGGCCAGGACTGTGGACCTCCTCGGCAGTGTTGGTGACACTCGGCATCTGCCGTGTCTCCCAGCCCTCCCTCTGCACCCACGGCCACGGCCCTCCCCACCAAGTGCCCTGTCCTCCCCAGATCCGCTGCAGCGCGGTGGCGGCCACTGTTCTAGAGCAATCCAGGCCGGTGGGCGGGAGGAGGTAAAGCAAACCCAGGCAGGATGAGAATGGGTAGACAAGGATGAAGAAATCATAATGTGGATGTCTGGGGGGGTCGGAGAGCGTAAGTCCAAGTTTTCTGAAATAGCGCACATTTCAAACATTTTGCTCTATGGCCCTGGTAAGTGTACCCTAATACCGACAGGGTATGTCCCCATGGTTGACCACAAAATACGGTCTCCAAATGTCTTAAAGTGCATAGCCCCATCCGTACGACCAGTGAAGAGTAGCTTGAAGGTTTTGTTTGTGGCAACTGTACACACACACACACACACACACACACACGCATGCGCGCACACTCATGCATACACACGCACGCACACGCACGCACACACACACAGCTATGGAAAAGGTAAATGTCCCAATTAGCTAGTTGACTCCAAAATTCAACCCGTCCACATGGAACAGGCACCGAGAGTCAAACATTTCCTTCCATTTAGAAGCAACTGTTCACAAACAGTAACGTCTCCTAGTTTTGTAGAACCTGTCAAACTCGCTTATTTGCTATGGGGTCTTACGCGTGCGGAATTTATTCATCTATCTCCAGGAAAAGTCCTTTATTCTCAGCTCGTGAGATTAGAGTAAAACAGCTGTCATGAAGTTGTCGATTTCTTATATATAATTTTATGACCGACACATTCACCAAACAGAGGCACGTTAAGGGGATTGTCGATTAATTTGCTAACTGCTGTTTTTTTTTTTTTTTTTTTTTTTTTTTTTTTATTTTTTTTTATTTTTTATTCTGGCTAGCCAGGGTCCAAGCCCCAGAGCACCAACGCAGTGGCCACTCTTGCAGGCAAGGACCTAACTGCTGTTTTTTTTGCTGGTGTACAAATGCCTGCTAGAGGCCAAGACCGGTAAGTGGGGACAAAAGGAGAGCAATAGGAAGATGTGGCCTCAGTCCTCTATCACTGGTGAGGCCAGGCGACTAAGTGATCATATAAAACCTGTGTCAGTATATAAAACTTTAAAAAAAAAAGCAAATCTTAGGCCTTGAAACCGCCTGTGGTCTGCCGTGTCCCTGACTCCTTGCATGAACTGAAGAATCACGTATTATGATGATCTCTGAATTACTGTAATACACAAAATAATATATGTACCGTGTTATGTATAATAAATTATATCAATGAAGACTTCAACAATCAGAGATCTGTGACGATTTTTATGTGGTTTTGGCTTGAAGTTAAGCCTTGCATTTATTGCAAAGACGGCCTTTATCCAAAGAATGTGAGCAGATGAGGAAATGTTGGACAGCTGTGAAAGTCACAACTGCTGCTAAATGCAGACCCTTAACTGTGCATTCAAACCCATTCATTGAAGAATTTACTTGAGAAAAACCTAAGGCTATTTCCATTTCTGTATCTAAAACTTGCAGTGCTAAACCCACACATATTTTCAAAACGGACTGTTCACTTACTCAAGTCACCTTTCCCCATTATTTATTTATTTTTGAGACAGAGTCTCGCTTTGTCGCCCAGGCTAGAGGCAGTGGCATCATCACAGCTCACTGCAACCTCCAACTCCTGGGCTCAAGCGATCCACCTGCCTTGGCCTGTGACTGATGATCTTCTACCCACGAAGGCCACTTTCAGTTTTGCGTTTTCATTGTGCAGTAGTGAAAAGTGGGGGGGTGTTCCTGAATCTGTGTTGACATTAGGTCACTTTTTGGAAATTAATTCTTGCTATAAGCTTATTATTTGTCCCTTCGTCCTGTTTCTGTGTCGGTTCTACTGGACTCATGATGCCGTGTAAATAGCCCAAGAGGCTGTGCAGTCAGCACCACGGGTGTTTCTGCAGAGACCATACAGGCTGTGCGGGACTGACTGTGCATCGGGGACGAGGTGGCCTCTGGGGGACGGGCTCGTGGGAGGCAGCCGGCAGGTCTCTCAATGTCTCTGTCCCCGACAGGCAAGGAGGGATCCTGGCACTGCTCATGGCCTGGCACCACCCGGGCTGATCAGCGGGGCCTTGCCTGATCTCCGGGGGGCATTCTGTGGTAGTCCGCTGTCTTCCCTGCACCCGTGAGGCCCCAACCCGGCCGCGGCACCCCAGCGTCCCTGCTGTGCACGCAGGTGCCGGCCACAGGAGGAGGACACCAGGTTGCCGGCTGCCAGCGGGTTAAACGGTTCTGCCAGACCATCGGTTCTTTCCTGGCGTCCTGGGTCTTGCGGTCCAACCACATCCCAACTCCCGTCTTCTCCTTTCTGTCTGGCTTCACCTTGGAAGCTCAGGGCTCCTCCGCCACGCGGCATCCTTTGCAAAGCTCAGGGTTGCGCTGGCCGTGTTTGGCAGGCTCTGGCTCCAGCCTGCGTGAGCAGGGCTGGGGAAGCAAGGAAGAAGGCGATGTGCTACTTGTTTAATCGGTTCACCTCATGACCCAGTGTCACGCGGAACAAGGAATAATCGTGAACGTTCGTTAAGCACCTGCCACACAGGGCTGTGCACTTTGTATTCACCTTTCGCCTTGGGTCCTGACGGTAACCCTCTGAGGTCTTACGGAGATGTCACACAAAAGTCGTTTGAGTCTTGCAAAAATGAAATGACTTATCCAAGACGAAACAGCTAGTAATCGTAAATTACAGGGCAGGTACGGTGGCTCACGCCTGTAATCCTAGCTCTCTGGGAGGCCGAGGCGGGCGGATCGCTCGAGGTCAGGAGTTCAAAACCAGCCTGAGCAAGAGCGAGACCCCATCTCTACTAAAAAAAATAGAAAGAAATTAGTTGGCCAACTAAAAATATATAGAAAAAATTAGCCGGGCATGGTGGCGCTTGCCTGTAGTCCCAGCTACTCGGAGGCTAAGGCAGAAGGATTGCTCAAGCCCAAGAGATTGAGGTTGCTGTGAGTGAGGCTGACGCCACGGCACTCACTCCAGCCCGGGCAACACAGTGAGACTCTGTCTCAAAAAAAAAAAAAAAAGTAAATTACAGAGCCAGGGTCAGAACCCAGGCCCTGGCTCCAAACCCAAGCCCTCCATCTCTGCAGCACAACCAGGAAACGGCCCTTAAAGACCAAGCAATCCTCTGCAGGGGCCAGATGATCACGGGGACTTAGGACGACACCCTCCCCGAATGTCTCCACCAAGTGGAGCCTGCATAGATGCTGCGCAAGTGTCAGCTTGCGAAGGACACCTTTTGTACAGCGTGCTTTCTCTCCTTATAACATCTAGTGATGGGGATGTCAGCGTTGGGATGATGCATTCTTCCCAGATCAGCCCTGCCCCAAATACCGGGAACAATCCGGCCATTCTCTCCTTTGCTCCTGTCTCGGGTGACATGAAAAGCAGTTCTGGACAGGGGCTGGGCGGTGGCAGGTGGGAGGTGGGGAGCTCCCCAGTGCCGATAAGGGAAGGTGCAGTCACACGCCGCTTCAGGACAGGGGCACGCGCTGAGAAATGCGTCCGTAGGCTGCGCGATTCTGCTGTTGGGCGACCGCCACGGAGCGGGACAGCCTCCCGCACACCCAGGCCGTGTGGCGCGGCCCCGCTCCCTGGCTGCAGGCCTGCGCGGACGCTAGCTACCGTGCGGGACGCCGCGGGCAGCTGGAGCACAGCGCGCGCACCTGCGTGTCCAAACGCGTCTGCGCAGAAGAGGTGCAGTGGGGACTAGGCGTGAACGGTGGCGCAGCTGCGCGGGGCGCGCGCCAGGAGCGGAGGACGGGAAGCCGCTCTGGGGAGCTAGCGGGGAGCGAGCGTGCCCGGACGGACATCGCCACACTCTCCCGCGGACTTTGTAGACTCCGCACACGTGGGCTGCGCTCAATGCATAAAGATTTTTTTTTTTTTGGTAATGTATTAGCTTAGAGTAATTTGAAAATTTATAAACTTTTAATTTTTTTTTTTGAGACAGGGTCTCACTTTGTTGCCCAGGCTAGAGTGAGTGCCGTGGCGTCAGCCTAGCTCACAGCAACCTCAAACTCCTGGGCTCAAGCAATCCTCCTGCCTCAGCCTCCTGAGTAGCTGGGACTACAGGCATGCACCACCACACCCGGCTAATTTTTTAAAATATATTTTTACTTGGCCAATTAATTTGCTCCCATTTTTAGTAGAGACGGGGTCTCGCTCTTGCTCAGGCTGGTCTCAAACTCCTGACCTCGAGCGATCCTCCCGCCTCGGCCTCCCAGAGAGCTAGGATGACAGGCGTGAGCCACTGTGCCCGGCCAGCTTTTAAGTTTTTCAAAAATCTGTTTGACTCTTTTGTAATAACACTTAGCTTAAAACATAAACACATTGTGCAGCTGTACGAAAATATTTTCTTTCTTTATATCCTTATTCTATAAGCTTTTTCAGTTTTTAAAATTAATTATTTTTTTTTTTACTTTTTATACTTTTTTGTTAAAAATGATGACACAAACATACACATTAGGGCCAGGATCATCAGTGTCACTGTGTTCACCCCCACACCTCGTCCCACGGAAGGTCTCGGGGCAGTGGCACGCGTGGAGCTGTGTTGTGTTGTAGCAGCAGGAATAAGTAAGGCCTCAGGGTTCTCTGGAGAAACATAACCAATGGGATATATTCATACGTCTGCATCTCAATATATCGGCATCTACAGATGTGGTATCTGTCTCCCTATCAATGGATTTGTTATAAGGGATTGGCTCAAGGAATCGGAGAGGCTGGGAAGTCCAGTTGGCAAGCTGGAGCCCCCGTGACCCCAATGCTGTCAGTTCCGGCCTGAGTCTGAATCAGAAGGCGAGAGAAGACAGGTGTCCCAGCTTGGAGACAGGCAGAGAGAGCAAATCCCCCTTTTTCCCACCTTTTTGTTCTGTTCAGGCCCTCGGCAGAATGGGCTGAGGCCCAGCCACACTGGGCTTCATGCATCTGCCAGAAACGTGTAGTTTCCTCTAGAAACACCCTCACAGACACACCCGGAATAACGCTGAACCGAGTATCTGGGCATCCCATGGCTAGGCAAGCTGCCACGTAAAAGTAAACATCTCGGTGTGGCGTTGATGTTCTGTCGTTCTTCATTGAGATGGTTTTCCCGGATATTGTTAAATACAGTCTTCCGGTTGAACTTTATCATCCTGTCTAGCGCCAGATAACATCACTGGCATGTTTATTAAATGCCTATTAAATGCCTCAGTGCCTACATTAACTTAGGGAAGGCTGGGATCTTTTGGATAACCTTCCCTAAGGACATATGATGTCTTTCATTAGATTTGAACACACTCGCTCTTTATCATCCCCTACCTTGGCTTACCTGCTCTTGGCCACCGGCCACCGGTGCGGAAGGGGTCAGGGGTCTCAGACGCCCAGCCAGGCCATTCACATGTCTTGTGGTCGAGCAGAACAGAGTTGCCACTAACTGGTCAAACCCTCCCAAGAACATTTCTTTTTTTTGAGACAGAGTCTCGCTTTGTTGCCTAGGCTAGAGTGAGTGCCGTGGTGTCAGCCTAGCTCACAGCAACCTCAATCTCCTGGGCTCAAGCGATCCTTCTGCCTCAGCCTCCTGAGTAGCTGGGACTACAGGCATGCACCACCATGCCGGGCTAATTTTTTCTATATATTTTTAGTTGGCCAATTAATTTATTTCTATTTATAGTAGAGACGGGGTCTCGCTCTTGCTCAGGCTGGTATCGAACTCCTGACCTCAAGCAATCCGCCCACCTCGGCCTCCCAGAGAACTAGGATTACAGGCGTGAGCCACCGAGCCCAGCCCCAAGAACATTTCTTTCCTGGACCATAGCCTTCTTACTGAACATAGGATTCCACCCCACCCGGGGTTCTCTCACCTTACAGCTTTCCTGGAAGGAGCAGAGGACCGAGCACAGAATCCAACACTGCTGAGCCCGCGGCCGTGTGCCACCTTTGCCAGGAGAGCCGAGAGCCAGCAGGTCCTCACCGTGGGCAGCTCTCAAGGCAGGAACTAGAAAGGAAGGTTTTTCCGTAGAATTCACTTTTCTGCAGCCAGAACTCTCCTGACTGGGTTGGCGTCATTGGGGTTTTCCCTGGCAGCTCTAAGCGCATCCTACACATGCAGATCACCTCAGGCTTTCCTAAGGTGAGATCAGCATAAAATGAACTCTCTGAAAGGCTTCTTGCTCCAGATACCCACTGCAGGAGCATTTGGTTTTGCCCTAAAAAGTCAGACTCATGAAAGTTCTCTCTATTAATAATTGTGAGAGAATGAATGTCTGTTGTTTAGACAACCCGATTTGTGGTATTCATCAGGGCAGCCCCAGGAGAGCCGTGCAGGTAGTTGGTGCCCTCGGTTGCATCCTGCACCCTTTCCTGTCTTCAAAAGGCCCGTGGTCATTCCCGTGAGCTGGGCGCAGTGTCGGCTCTGGCATGCTGAGGGCTGCTGCCCCCCGCACCGGGGTTGGTGATTCTGAGCACCGCTCCTCGCGCCAAGCTGCTTGGGGAAGACACCTGGCTCTGAGACCTCAGGTGTTGCCTGGCGGCTGCACACGTGAGCACCAGTCCCTGCACCCCGCCCCGAACCCAGGGACGCGTCACCTCCACCCCCCCGCTGCCCGAGCGATGTGCGTCGTTATGGCTTTGTGGGGATGTGAGGGCTCTCTCGGGTATGGAGACTTCAGATAAATTCGGTTTAATTGCATCACCATGGCGACTACGTTCTAAAAGATGGCTCTCAGAGTCTGGGACTCAGCACCAACATGTTGTTATTAGGCTGCTATTAGGTAGCCATGGAACTTCTATAGGTGCGGAAGGTTGAGGTTAGTGCTGCTGTCGGTGGCATGCAACACACCGTGTTTCCCCGAAAATAAGACCGACCCATACAATAAGCCCTAGCAGGATGTCTAAGCATTTGCGCAGTAGAAGCCCCACCCCGAAAATAAGCCCTAGTGACGGGCGTGGCTGCGCAGCGCATCTGCACAACCCATGCATGTCGTCACAGAGCGGTAAAGAAGACGAGCAGCCCTTCTCACCTGCCCCATCATGACAGTGACTGTCCCAGAGGTGACTGGAAAGGTGCGGGCAGCCCCACCAACAAGGCCGGCTCCCCTGTCAGGTCTCGGCCGTCCTGTGCGTGCCGCAAGCTGATGCTTTGAGGGGAAAATAACACATGCCCTGAAACACAAGCCCTAGGGTGTCTTCTTGAGGAAAAACAGATATAAGACCCTGACTTATTTTCGGGGAAACCCGGTATGAAGCCAGGCGGGCTTCCTGCATGGCCAGCCTGTGCGGGGACCCCAGGCCCAGGGTGAGACTTAACCACAAGCACTGCATTCGTATCTAGTTCGGCGACTGGCATGTGGAGCCCCAGCGTGCTCTCCCGGCGCACGGCGTCCTGGCTGGGGCGTCTGGCACCTGCGGATGGCCGGGCTGCTCCTGCTCCTGACAGACCCTTCCTCGTCCCACTGGGCGGCCCACGGTTGGGCACCGTCTGTCTGCACCCTGTGGGCAGAGACAGCCCGGCCCAGCCGCTGGCTCCCGCACCTCCACCTGCAGGCGCTTCCTCTGCTGGCCCTGTCTCCCCCGTCCCGCGAGCCTCTCCCGCCAGCGTCAGCTTGCGCCGCAGAGCGAGGCCACGTGCGCGGCGCCTGAGGACACCGCGTGTGCCCACTGAATGTGCCAACACGGCAAGACCCTCATTTCCTTAACGCGGCGCCTCTCC